TGAAATCCAGAGGACCAAAGTTTGAAGCTAACTCAAGGAAGGCAAGTCCTGAGAGTCTAGATCTCCAAAATAAACTGGGGGAGGGGGAGAGAACTATTCTGAAAGATAAATAATATTGTTCTGCACTTTAACAACATTTTCTTTTCAGTGCTGGCAATCAAACCCAGGGCTTTGCACACATCAGCAAATGCTCTACCACTGAGCTACAGATGCCTAGCCTCAACATACCATAGGTTTTCTTCTACAACTTTATTTGTTTAACATTAACTTTCCTGTACTACTAGCCTTCTACCACACAAAGACACAGACTTCCATCTATTCGTTCATCTGTTTATACACATTGTTTTTCTAAATTTTTGCTTTTACATACAACACTTGTATAATCTTTCTTATCCAAACCTCTTTGTGATCAATGAAAAATTCTCTCTAGGGCAATAACATTCAGTTTGAGTGTTGAAACGCCTCAGTAATCACACAAGACGTATGTGGTCCTGACATGGTAATATTATTCACCTCTTTCAAGTAGGCATTGCATTGGTAATGCAAAGGCAGTGGGAGGTGAAATTGCTAGTGACTTAGATGAGTTTTAAAATACTCTCATTAATGAGACAAATGGATATTGTGTACCTCCTAATATTCTAGAAAGACAAAACAACATTTCTATGGCAATGTTACTCAAAATACATAATCTGAATTAAATCATGAGGCAGAATCAGACAAACTCAATTTCAGGGATAGTCTACACAATTATTAGTATCTAGGTCATGAAAGACAAAAATCAAGGATCTGGCCCAACTAGAGTAGGCTACTAAATGCAATGTGCAATCTTAGCAATAGAAAAAGAACATGAGTGGGGCAACTGGTAAATTTCAATAAGATATATAGATACATTAGTCTTAGTGCTAATTTTCTAGTTTTGACAATTTAATTAAGATACTAACATCTGAATAAATAAATGACAAAATTCTTACTAGTTTTGCAATGTTTTGTAAACACGAAATTAACAAAATGACTTCTTTTACATATTCCAAATAGTATTACAGCCCTGGAGATAAAACCAGAACCAAGAATTTGATCTTATTTTTAAAATAAGTTTGACATTTTTTAAAAAGTTGAAAATTAAACCATGGAAAATAAAATATGCATTTTATATGGTCTACCTATCCTGTATGCAGATGTTCTTTTAAAGTATTTGCTATGGGCTGGGAAGGTGGCTCAGTGGTAGAGTGCTTGCCTTGCATGCATGAGGCCCTGGGTTCGATTCCTCAGCACCACATAAGCAGAAAAAGCC